AGCTCCACCTCCGGGCACCCGGGGGGGGGGTCCCAGGGCCACCTGCAAAGCAAAGTGCCTCCAATGTCTCAGACACAGGAGTACGACCCTTTCAGAGGAGCCTGACACAGAGCAAGCACAGGCGATAGTCACCGATGAACGAATGACGATCATTGTGGTGACAGAACCTAGCCCGGAGCAGCCCATCAATTCTCAGTCTCCCGGCTTCAGCACTAATCTCCACCTGCTTCCTAAGTGTCACGAAGAGAGTCCTTGCGTTGCTGCGACGCCGCACAGCCTGCGACGCACACGCGGAGCCGTCGGGGCCCTTCCTTACCTTCGTGCCGGTCGGATCGTGCAGGAGCCAGGAGCCAGACCATAGGGCCAACCCCACTGACAGAGGAGGTCCCGGAGGCTCGGGTGCAGAAGCCAGCTGTGCCCTNCGGGGCCCTTCCTTACCTTCGTGCCGGTCGGATCGTGCAGGAGCCAGGAGCCAGACCATAGGGCCAACCCCACCGACAGAGGAGGTCCCGGAGGCGGCTCGGGTGCAGAAGCCAGCTGCGCCCCGCACCCCCTCCCCTCGCTATGGGGGTGAAGCGAGGATCATCGTAAGAGGAAGGACGGCGGAAAGACCTCAGGCACTTCCTATGAAGAATGATCGATCGATCGATCGATCGATCGGTTGGACTAAGTGAATGAATTCAATGACTGTAAGGATATAAATGGGTTTAAAATACAGACGACTTCAGGTCCCTGCAAGCATTTCAGATGCACCAGTTGACTTACGAGTAGCTGATAAGCTGAGGTTGTGCCCACCCCGCCCCGGCCGCCAGGGAGAGCCAGGCCCAGCCGAGCCTGCACACCTCCGAGCCTCCCAGCAGCTTCCTCCCCAGGCACCCAGCACTGCTCCCTCGGTCAGTCTCCCGTGGGTCCCTCACAATCCTGATGGGCTGTCCCTTCTCTGGGAAGCCTCCCCTCCAACCCCTTTCCCCTCCAGACAAGGCAGGTTAAACTGCCCCTTCTCTGCGTCCCCACGAGAGGCGTTTGCACTGGGGCAACGACTACCCTCCTGTGTGCGACCCTGGCACACATCTCCCCACTGAGCAGAGAGGCAAATGCGTACCTGGCACAGGCGAGGTGGGTGAAG